TGTGCATTCCCCCTGCATACATTCCATAGAGACTCGGAAACGGGACAAATGTAAGCCTACTCACCCAGGATGTGAAGTTGGAAGATGATGAGATGAGCTTGTTAAGATAGGGAGGGAGATAAGAGTGACATTTTGGCATGGGGGAGGTGGGTGGTCCGCCAGGGGGCTGCCGCTTGGGAAGCTGAGGAAGGGCTACTGGGTGGAAGGAGGAGTTTGATGAAGGGGCATAGTCATTTAACCAGCTGCGGTAATGTTTGCCACAAACCCCACGTGACGTTTTTATATTTCTTATCTGGGGTACCTTGTGATATAAATGTGCGTCATTTTATTTCAAATTAGCATTTTTATTGATTAATGCACAAGCAAAACACAAGATTAAAATGATTACATGTTAATTTCAAGAAAGTATTTTATCATCAAAAAGGTCCACGTTATCGTAAATGTAAAAACATTAAAAATGTTTATGGTTTTTACAAACAAAAAACAATAGAAAAATGATTATGAGCTGTAAATATTATCTGTCTTACATGACATTTACCGAAAATCATCATCATCAATCCTTTTCAGCACCACAGCTATTCAACCGCACGATACATTTATTAAATCTGTAAAATACAAAATATGGTGCATATCAAAATATATTTGAAAAGATATGTTTTAATCAATACAATATTAAAATGTTGAAAGGAAAAAGTGTGCATATTATATTGTATAATACATGTGACTCCGCCACTTGTCTCGGTGACTTCATCCACTCGGTTGCAGGATGAGCTGCCCATTCTTGGTGGGAATGTGACCTACATGTTTTCTAAAATACAAAAATAGAGACATCAGATATGAGAAAAAAATATATATTGAAGTGAAGAAAATGTACATTATTCTTTTTTGTGTTCTGAGTACAGGATCCTGCTTAAAATATATGGTATATTTATTTAGCCTGTAGAGAACACACAAATATAATAACACTCAAAGCAGTTGCATATAGGCAAAGCAACTTACGAACGCTATCACCTTGTACAGGATTTCATTCATCATGTATATAATTGTCTCAGGCAGATGGTGGCTCTTTATGTGACCCACCAACCTCAGCTCCAAGTTTATGAATTACAGGTGCCAATAATATTTGCAGAGCATTATTGTTATGATGCTCGTTTACATACAAAAAATGGGCAGATCATGCTTTCCCACCTGATGATGGACGCTTGTGTTGCGCCCGAAACGTCGTGATTTATTTCATTTTATACCTACGTGACTTTACCGAAAGAACCAAAATGTCCCTCGTTTCAGAAACCTATTATTTTAGGTTAAATGTAATAATGTAACTTACCATAGATACTGAATAGCTCTGCCGATGGTTCTTTGTATTTTGCAGCAGGCTCGACATGTCCTCTTACATAACAAACGTTCTCACTCGGAGTGACTTTTCTGTAGGAAACAGTCAAGTGTATTTGTCGTGTCAAATATATAAAAAGTGCTACATTTTCACATTACAGTGCAGTATATACTCTGGTATATTGTACTACACATCTCTTGAATACACAACATCACTTCGTCTAATCCGAATGTGTTACACATTGCAAAACATGAATGTATTCATACGCACATTAATTATTCCATTTTATTTTTCAATTTATTGATTTCTGGCCACGACACACATCAATGAGGTTATATCCTGAGCCGCCCCTAGACATCGGAGTTGGCCTAATATCCAAACTGTTGGCACCGGCTGTGGCTGACTTCCCGTTTGTCTGTAACCTCCGTGCGGAAACTATACGTGTACACGTTGTAAATTATAAATCTCGAGAGGCAATTTGCTTGAATGATACTGAAAAAACATTAAGTACTGTACTCTTAAATAGGGGGGCTGGCTTAATCCGCACTTCTCGAGGGTTTGCGGATAACTACGGCATAGGGGTTGGCGGACCACCAGTAGCTGTAGCAGCATCATCTTCCTTGTCATAATTGATCATTACCATAATCTTCATTGATCACTCCCATCCACTTCATTGTCATTAGAGCCACTGTCACAATACGTATACAAGCTGGTTTAAATGTATTACTAGAGGGGGGGAGGGGGTCTCCGGTATACCTCATCTCGATATACTTTGTTTCGCATTCACGTCGCCGACTTTTTGAGGAACACAACGTAAAATGTCCCCGTACATAGACGTCGTTAAAGCATTGTGTGTGGCTAGCATAGCGGATAGCGTGCTGCGCTGCGGGCCCAGTGACCCGACTTCGATTCCCGCTCAGAGCCAACACCAGTGATGATTATCGTTTTAGATGATCCTTTTCGACTCGGCTCAGCTGAACTCGGCTCTGGGGGGGGTGGGGTTCTAGAAGTACTGTACAACTCGCACATGCGCCGCCATCTGCCCAGTTACATCGTGTTCTCTCGCTCATTGTCATTTGCGCGGCCTTCATAGCAAAATATCGTCGCAAATCTTCAACGCAACTCATCCACTCCTTAAGATAAGATCATAAAAATGTTAGGTTAAGGTAAAATCTTTTTAAATGCTGTTTGAGATGTTGTGGTCCCTAACCCCGACGTATATCGGGGACCCTCTCTATCATGAACGATACCATCATCTTCTTTGTATTCGGCGTTTTCATTAAGTTTGATTCTAAGTAATGTTAAGCTGTCTTTGATTTAGCTTCTCAGCTCATCGACAGGTGGCGCAAGACACACACGCAATAGCAAGGCTAGGCCTCGGCAAGGTAAGGTAAAAGTTAAAATGTAAAAAAAACAAGCCTACCTTTACCCTACCTTTTACCTTACCACAATACAATCACTCTACCCTACCTTTTACCCTTTAGCAGGTAAGGTAAAACGCAACGAGCTTACCTTTACCCTACCTTTTACCCTTACCCCATACAAATTACGCGATTACAGGGTAATTACTGGGGTACTACTACACATGAACAAGGTTTATAACGGTAAATGTTAGGTAGAGCGCTTTATTCATATAGAATACTCTCGATTATTCCAATTTTACACGCTTTCTTTGAACTCACGCTGTTGTTGTCGTTGTTGTATCCTCAAATCTTGTAACTCAATTTTAACCCACTTCACAATATGGTATAGACTGCAAACTTTGTATACTTATGTCATACTGATGACAATATTATATTGTATCGTAAAAAATATCTGTTTTAAACGTTATTTTTTATATGTGATGTTTCGGCTTGGGTCTAATTGTCCACGCTCAACTGACGTTGGCTGTAATTGGCCACGGTCCCTTACGCTATGGCAAGCTTCGGGGCCACTTCCTGGAGTCGTGGAGTTCTGCCATTACTAGTACAGTACATTCATAAAAGCGTGTTTTAAAAAAAGTTTTTTTTAATATTACTTATTAAATGGAGGCGACCGATTGCGCCACTGAGCTTTTAGCGGTAAAGAAGGTACTGTATTTACCGGGTAATACTTCGCGCTACCTTTACCCTACTGGGTAATTCTTCCGAGCAACCTTTACCCTGTACCCTTTACCTTGCCCCTTGGCATGTCCACACCTTTACCTTTACCCTTTTACCCGCTAAAAAGGGTAAATTACCTTACCTTGCCGAGGCCTAAGCAAGCGTCAACACGCGCAGCCTCGATTCCCATCGGCACGACCCCATCTACTGATTGGCTGTTGGGTTTTTGGGGAAAGGGACCCCGTCTATGCCACATAGCCAATCGGCCAAAAGCTGTCTCATAGCATGAATCAGTCCATGTGTATGTTTAATGGAATTAACTGATTTATATTCCATATTTACCTGCATTTTCTCTCATGGCCTGCAAAGTTCAGATAATGGAAATAAATTAGCTTGTTAGTAAATTGAGCTTCATAAAATGCAAATGCAAGCACATCAACCTTCTTTGAACCCAATCTACCCACAATGTTCAGAGCTATGACAGGGGTCGTCAAGATGCATTTATTGTTGTGAATTGTGCAGCAGTGGCTATCCTATGGAAAAGTTAACTCTTCAAGCAGGATGACGTTTAAACTACTGCCCAGAACTACTAATAGAGGTGGGGATTGCCCAATGTTCATTTTAACATGGGAATACTGACTCATGACCATGTTTATAATGTTGTATGTGGTGTTAACGTTGGTTCCCCTGATCCTTTGTAAGTAAGAATCATCTTATACAAGCATTATTGCAGCCTCAAAACTGCTTAGCTTCCAAGATCTGATTCAATCATTTGTGTTCCAGGTGTCCTATTATACATAGGATGCTCCATATGCAGAATTCCTAATCTGCAGCTATATTATCCGTGCGATCTGTAGAGTCCGTCAAAGTTCTTATTATCAGCAGCCCTATTTCTTGCTGTTATCTGCATTTATCTGCAATTGTACCCTCAATACATAGTAAAGCGACTTCCTAAAACAAACAAAAATGGCCATTATCAAACAAAGTGCACGGGAGGCACATTCAATGATTACGAGAAAGCCACGCAGACACGAATACACTCATACACCGAGGCAGACAAGCACGGAGACACAGAGGCACAATGACAAACAAAAAGATAACAGAAACATGAACAGACATGGAGACATAAAGCCACAGAAAGACCAAGACCAAAAAAACAGATATTGACCCTTTCAGTAATGGAGTTTGGCAGGACAAGTACACGAGTTGAGACTCGTGTACTCTAACAGCTACACCTTTATGCATTTCTGTCCTTGTGTCTCCCTGTGTCTGTATATGTATGTTGAACTTCTTTCGCACCGTACGTTTCCAACCGTGCTAATCGGAGGTGCGTGTATCCGTGTCTGTAGTGTATGTCTGTATCTGTATTAAGTTGCTTACAAGGAGATACAAAGGCAGACATGTCTTCAATTGCACTTAAAAAACTCCGATTATCCGTGATTTTTTTCACGGACAAGAGGAGCCATGTGGCAACATTTATTAGCTGATTAGCCGCAAATGTTTACACCGCAGATAATAGGAGTAAAATCGAGGATAACTCCTGTGCATAATGAATCCGTGATATTGGCCCCCCATATCACCTCAGATAAGGGGAGTTCTGTACATGTTTCATAAATAAATATCAAAGGCAATTACACTCACATGATAGGAAATGGGGTAGAAATTATGGTTTAAAAAACTAATGAGAAGCAGAACTCACTTTTCAATACACGCCTTTTTTTGAAATTACAGAACACGCCTGCAACACCCACCACCAATACAGCGAAGAAGACCACCGCTCCTGTGATGGCTGGGACCAGCACATTTGGGGTCTCGTGTTCACTGGGAAGCGTTAAGCTTAACAGCTCGTCCATTGGTCTCATAGAAGAAGATGTAAACGTTTCAACTATTCCATTTTGGATTGAAAATTGGTCACACAGAGCCTTCATGTTCACCATGCCTGATGATAAATAGCAACAGCAACACACACTGTATCCGACGTGTAATGTAAATATGCAGTCTAGTTAAGCACTTGCATAATATAACAGTTTATCTGGCACTCGGACATTCCTATTTTACTTTCTATTCACTGTTTTGAGCATTCAGACTGGTCTGCCTTCAATCCGTCATTGGATTCACCATGATGGATTTTTTAGAAGCTCATATTATTGAAATATCTGGACACAGTCCCATCAGTTGGCTCCTCTGGTAGACCAGAATGCAATGGCTGAATCATGTAGTCCGCATACCCAGCCACTGTTTGATCAAGGAAGCAGTGGTCGGATCGAGACGGCTACATGGGGATGACATGGGTTTGAGAAGAGATGGCCTGAGGTGGTAAGGAACGAAATAAACTATGTAAATTTATGAATAACTGAAGGTGTATAGATCGGCCTCTGTAATGGAAGCTCGTGAAGGATGCGATTCGGCAATAAATTGGAGGCAATCGCTCAAGAATGGAGGAACGACACTCACAACAATGAACAGATTGCTTGGTGGTTGAATACAGTGAGGTGGCACAGTGAGGCACATAGCTGTGCATCTACCAGTGATCTTGGTTAATGAAGTAAAGGATCATGGTGACATCACTGTGCCACTTCGTGGAATATGGCAGCTATTGTTGAATGCATTCAACAATAGCATTCAACAATAGCTGGCAGGTTCCCACACCACTATTGTGGGTCGGGGATCACCTGAGCCAGAATGCAGATCCGCTGTCGCTCTATGGTGAGTGATCTCCACCACCACCCCATGCCACAGGCGGAGCCATGGGAAAAAGGTCACCCAAGGCCCACCCACCGTGCCCTCCGCTCGCAGAGGGCACGGTGAGACTCGGTCAATTTTGGGTCTTGTAATTGCACTCGTATAGCTGCTTGGCCGTGAGCCCCAGGAATGCACATCTGACATCTTCAATGACCCAAGACTCCCGCGTCTGATCCCTCTCACTCGGGTCCACCTCGTACACCCCTTCACCATTCTTCCCTTTGTAGGTTGGTTCCTTGATCATTGGTTGAATGAACAGTGAGATGCAGTGTATTATTCATTTAATGTAGGGCAATCTTGGATTTTGCTTAAGAAGATGGTGATTCATCTTCTTGGTTCTTTCGGTAAAGTCACGTAGAATGGAAATAATAAAAGAATAAAAATAAAACATAATAAAATAATTCTCACGACGCTCTTCCTCCTCCCTCCCAGCTTAAATAGACGCTCCAAGCCTAGGACGTGTCATTCAGACTCTGTCTTATCGACAGACCTGTTCTTCACCTAAGGACGGCTGCTTGCGTTCTGGCCGAAATGTCGTGAGAATTATTTTATTATGTTTTATTTTTATTATTTCCATTCTACGTGACTTCACCGAAAGAACCAAGAAGATGAATCCCTGCAGTCACGAAAGCTTTAAATCGAAAGATGGTGATTCTTTTCTATGATAGTAAATATTGGCATAAAATTTGACTGTTATAAATTGTCTCTTTTAAGTCATTGCCCAGTAATACACCAGCCTAAATACCGTAGTTTAATATAATAGTGGGGATACATTGTTACCAGTTTACCATTGACACAGTTGTCCATGTTTGAGTATGGTTCAGAGGAAGAGACGGTACAACCACATGACGGTGCATCGATAGCCTGCAAAACATATCGACATGATGAGCCATTCTGCCGCTGGAATTTGTCCCTTCCAAATTGTAAAGTATGGAGCATATAGACATTTCTCCCCAAGTAAAAAATTACCAATAATTTTTTTTTATATATAAAGTGACAGAATTATGCTCAAATTAGCTAAATACAATATGTGCCCAGTATTTCGTCATAGAGGGCAGGGTCCCTAATATATACGTGGGAACGTAACAGCCTTTTTTAGTCACACTCATGCACGTTTACTTCCTACTCTGTTTTCCAGTCCCCTCTCAACTCTCTACGTACTTCGAATCTGGCAAGAAGGAATTAATTTCACATCATCATGCTAGTTGATTAATGCTTCATTTTTCATATGTACTGTACCTGTGGATGTATTTCTTGTACTATATATCCAGTTCTATGCAGACAAGCAGAACATTATAGTTCCACGCTGTAAAGTTTTTTTTGTTTAAAGGAAACAAGGTAAAGGTGCAGCCCTGGAATTACCTGTTCACACCACTGCTGGCGCAAAGGCCTCCACTCGAGGGAGCTCTAGAAAGCCCTTCGAGGGTATTTGGCCTACTCTCCCACACGTGTCTTAAGTACCGTACATGAACTATTATTCCACAGGCAGTCGTAGCCTCATGTACAACCGTCTTATGCATGATTGCTATTAATGTACATGTGGAGTGTCACCCGTTTCTTTCTGCTCTGCATTTGGAGAACCATCCTATTGGTAATTTCATGGATAAGACGAAGAGTGCAGGGCAAGCCCAACCCTCTTTGAATCCCACACTTACAATAGTTGACTGTATAAAGGCTTACCTTTAAGCGGAGTCTCGTTTTTTCTGGACCATAGATCCATGCATTCAATTCAAACTTGTAATTAGTGTGTCCATCATAAACATCAATCGTGTCAAGGTACCAACCAGAAGCAATTCCACTGTTGTCATGCCATACATATAGGTCTGTTATGCATCCAAGATTTGTAGTGTTGGTTCTGAAGACATCAATCTGTAACACATTCAAATCTTGCATTGCCTTTCAACGTGTAACCGAAATGCAGAATTCACAGAAAATATCCAACTATGACATCGAATAATATGTACATACTTATTTATCCTGGAAAGCCACACCGGAATCATGACTCTTTTCAGGAAGGTCCTGAGTGAGCTTTAATGTTTCAGCCAATAAATAAGGGTCCATACTTGTGGGAGCAAACGGGAGCAACTGGAGGAAACCCACGCGCACACGGGGGCAACAGGCTATGCTCATACGGATGGAAACAGATGGCGATTAGTCTACTTACTATACTGCCTTCTCCTAGCGAGCTCAGTGTATGGCACCTCAATGCCAATGGAGTTTCACAACATTTGTGCCTCGCATCTACAGTACTTAATTACAGGCATGCACCACCATTGCTGTGTTTGAAATTGAAGCTAAAAACTATTTAAACGATATATATATGTTTTACCTGGTAAGGCCCACTAAACTATATAGCTCTTTTTTTTAGAAGCGACCTGGCCACAAATAATAGCTCAACGAAGTGGCTTATCATGTGGAAACATACAGTGGCCAAGTACTTTAAACGCGAAGGAAAGAACCGGAGGACCCGGAGAATAATCCACGTGACCACGGGAAGGGAGACACGCAAAATCCAAATATACAACAGGCATCAGGGTCGGGATTGATCTCACGACCTCATGTATACCAGGCAATGAAGTTAACTTCTCGCCACCATGGATTAGAAACTTACCTGACCTCGGTTGAAACAGCTACATGATGAATGAGAGAGCTCTAATTGCCATATTTTTTTCCCATTTAGGCCAATGAACACACGGGCGCTTGTTCCAGCATAAGTCACATCTCCTGTGTGCACCGTTATGATGTACGTTTTCTCCACCAACGCTGAAATGTATAAATACATGCTAAGTATCGTGGTTATAAACAAGATACATCAATTATTTAATTCATGAATACTGTACACATTTTTGTGATTTCGATCTACTCATTGTATTCTACATAATTTGGGATAAACATTCAAAACACCCTTCCATAGAATTCTGAATACAGTGACACTTGAGTCACCACAATGGTTTCTCTGTAAATTATCTAATACGTTAGTTGTCTATTCAATATGTGGAAACTGCTCCCTTTTCCATGCATAGTGTATTTATGAACAGCTGGGTTATAACACTAAATAGCTTAAGAGCTAAACAGATAAAATATTTTTTTAAATACTGTAGCATTAAAAAAGGTTCACTTTCATGATGCTAAATAATTGTACAGTGAGTATAAGCCAGCAGTTAGTCTTCCTTAAACCAATGCTGGTGGACTGCCTCTCATGGGGTGAAATTCACAGTCCCACAGCTAATCGATACAATATCTACACCCGGCAATGGGAAGCAGCAGTATTGGAAACATGGCACCTCATATTGTCATCAGTACCAATTGGATATGATTGATAGTGCATGCGAAATGAGACAATCCTAGTGCAACAGGTGGAGGTGATGAGCCCTCCACAGGTGGGCACAATCAGCCATGGGGGGGGGGGGGGGGTGGCTGTGTAATTGGCTGCAAAATATAAACGGGCCAACTGAGCTTTCGTTGATAATGAATATTGGACCAGAGAGGTTGCAGCATCTGGAGCGCGGTGTTCCAGGAGAAGCAACGACCAAAAGTTAAGTGTTGGTGCTTTTGATGAGGACCAGTCTCTAAGACTGGAATTGGAACGTCATACTTGCTATAACAACCTCCCACACGGGGATGAGGCAAGAGTGCAGGAGTAGACAGGCACGACCCCGAATTACTTTTCGAGGGCCTACCTTGGTGCGTCCTGCCGCACACGGATTGCTGGGATAAAGTGTGACCTAACAGTGGCTGACTGAGGCTAACAATCGGCCCAGGCATTTGTAAACACACCGAGCCCAAATTTCCATGCGATCTCATTGGCAAAGTTAGGGCTAAGTCCAGAAAAACAATGTTGCCGGTGAGGAAGAATTTCTGGGTGCTGCCGAATATGGGAGTTAATGCCAACCGAGAGCATAAATAAGCAATGAAGTGTACACGGAGATAATAAAATTATTTCAATAAAAATATGAAACTAAAATCTACATTTGCAATTTCAGCCCGGCCCTCGGAATTGACTGGCCCACCGGGCATTTGCCCGGGGACTGCCCTATGGCCAATGCGGGCTTGCTGACTGGTGTCCTGTGTAACATAGCATTACGGTTGCAAAAGTGATTATGTGTGTTTGTGTGCTGTATGAAGCGGCAAAACAACCCCCTACCTCCTCGTGGTGCCGGACGGGCAACGTTGTCGTGGGCAGTGCCGTGGGGGGAGGGCCAATTCCGATTGGCCTTTCCCCTCATGCCATTTGTAGCCACCACAGCGGCCAAATGGGGGCTCTGGATGGGTGTGAGGGGCTGGTAACCCCTCTACCTTCAATTAACTACCACTAAACTACGAAGTAAAACATTTATTAAGCTTGTGTCGGAGGCCCCGGGGGAACAGGCGTCTATGATGTCTCCTGGCCAAACCCCATTTGGTGGGACCAGGAGACTGAATCCTTACCCTCGAGGCTCCTCCAGAAACAACTAAAAACCACTATGTATGGCCACGTGGAATGTTCGAATGCTCACTGCGGAAGAGAGGCTGCCACTCCTCTGTCAGGAGCTGGAACGGTACCGCCTGGATCTCTGTGGTATTCAGGAGATCCGGTGAACCAGCTCTGGCTCCTGCCACCATGAGGGGTGGACAATCCTCTACTCGGGGCATGAGACTGCCAAACAACAGGGTGTGGCTCTTCTTCTGAATAAAAGAATGAAGGGGGCGTGGGAGTGTGGCGGTGAGGTGTGGGAAGCTGAAAGCCCCAGGCTACTTTGGGCTTGCCTTCCCATCAACCAGAGGTGAGGAGTGGTGGTCGTGGTTACTTATGCCCCCACTGAAGATGAACATCTGTGGAGGGATGCAGGCAAGGCCGATGAGTCATGTTCCTTTTATGACCTCCTGTCACAGGTGCTAGCTAAAGTGGCCCCTCAGGATAGAGTCATCTTGTTGGGTGACTTCAATGCCCGAGTTGGTCATGATGCTGGCACCTGGTCTGGAGTGATTGGAAGGCATGGGCCAAATCAGCTCAATAACAACGGCAGGAAGTTGCTACATTTTTTGTGCAGCCCATGAGCTTGTAATTACCAACACGTTCTGGCATCGGCACACCACACCACATCATGGATGCATGCCTGGTCCAAGCAAGAACAACTGCTGGACTACGAAGTGACGGAACAGCGAATGCGGGCCCATGTCCTGGACACCAGGACCTACCGCGGAGCTGATCTGCCCACTGACCATCAACTTGTCATCTGTAAGATGCACCTCCCATTCTTCCACTTCGGTGAAGGGTATACATCCAGGACCCCATTCAAGCCCTACATGACATCATAACAACAGTCTGGAGCACTGAACGGGTTCCACAGGATTGGAAGGATGCCCTGGTGGTCCCCCTCTTTAAGAAGGGGAACCGCACAGACTGTAACAACTACAGGGGCATCTCACTCCTCAGTGTGCCGGGAAAGGTCCTGGCAAGGATTATTCAACATCGCTTTGCTAGGCACGCTGAGGAGAGGCTTGCGGAGCCCCAATGCGGTTTCCCATTAGCTGAAGCTCAACTTGGCCAAGCCAATGACCCTAGCTAACGTGCCGTGATCACGCCGAGGCCATGCTCCCTGTCTCTCCCCTTATTGGCTACACAGCGGGACTGGCAAGGCAATCGCCACGTAAGCCATACATGGCTCTTATTACACTTTTACTAATGAAAGGAGCGCTTCTATCGTCGCTCGTCATGACGCCGGAGAAGCCGCTGTGCTTCCCTCTTCCTTGGCGCAAGACCAATAAGTACAATATAAATCATTATTATATTACTACTTTTGCTATTCTTGACATAATTACATACTTATAATCGCTTTAAATAGCGTTATCATTTGCTTCGTAACGCTCGTTCTGATGCGCTGAGGGCAGTAAGGTTATGCTGACGCTTGCTTGAGCAGATGAGAACCGTGATCACGATTTCGACTCAAAAATCGTCACGTTATCGCCATTGTAATTGACAAAATGTTTTAATTATCGTTGTTGATATGAACACGTTAAATTAACGTGCTCACTCTGTTGCACGTTGAACACGCTATCGCGATATATACGCTGCAATTAAACGCGCTATACATATCGCATCGTTACTCCACTGTGTTATAGCATTGCACATGCTTTACATTACTGTCGGTTCAACGGTCCACGTAGACAAGCCATCATTGCCATCTCCACATGCTCATAACATCGGTTCCACTGCGTGCGCAGTCAACAGTTATACATGTCCCCTGCCATGGCAATGCCCAATTTCCACTGGTCTAGATGAGTGCTGCACAATGCCCGTAGGACCATAGAGACCTTTTTTCTTTCCACTGCTAGTTGACGGTCTCTACACGCCTCTGGTTGTGGAGGCCTTTTGACCACAATTCAACTCCAGCTGGTCGGTGTAGATTACGAAAGGCGGCCAGCATAGACGTATAGTACAACTGCATATAAATACAACGTGCTGCTCCCCGCCCCATGACAACCTGCTTGTGCATGGTGGGCGCCCTTCCAGCCACTCTCCCGGCTCAGATCTGCTTTACTTTCGAGGTTCAAACAGATTGGTAACATTCCAAGTCAGGGTGATTTCTTCATAGACATTGGTGTGTATAGCCTTGCTTTTAACATAATGTGGTGGCGAGATGTTTACTATCTGATCTAGTATACAGGATGTCCTGGGTTCCATTCTAATCCTGACGCCTACATATTTGCCGTTTGGATGTTCTCTACCTGTAAACCACATTTTAAATTTGCATAAACACAGACGAATGCTACTTCCATTTCTATGCTGCACTTCAACATTATATAAGCTTACTGTACGCAAATAACCAGAATTTACGTTTAAGTCTTTGTTAAATTAGCGATAATGTGACTAAAACGTAAAAAAAACCTATCGGCAAAAAAACTAGTTTTCATTGCACACACTTTTATTTGCACTCAAACCTAGAAAATACATTATTTTGACCACAAAAATAATTAACTTCGATGTGCTGAATAAGGAAGCCACCCATTTTTAATCAGCACATCAAATTTGATTAATTCTACATTTAAAAAATATATGTTTTAGTGCAAATAAAAGTGTCTGCATTGAAAAATCTATTTTCTTTACATATAAAAAAAAATACGAGTGAACATACGTTGTCTCGTACAGCTTAATGAGCGTCCGGACACTGTTCTGGTTGGAAGTTTTAAATCTTCGTTATGTTCAACAGTCCACTGGCTTATTCCAAATTCCCACTTACGCTTGTCCAGTTTACAGAGGTGTTACTGTATTTTAAAGTGGTGTTTACATTGAGTTACTTACCTATCACCGTTAATCTAACACTCTTCTGGTATTGGTGATTGTTGAATTTAATCTAAGTCTCTTTCAACATATCCCACTCGCACATCGTCCTACTGTTACACAAACATCGATCAAGGTAGGACGCAGCAGCACAAATGTAAATGCCCGAGTCAGATACGTGCGCCTTTCTTATGTTTAGGTCATGGTTTCTGGAGCAGGTGAACTTCAAATCTTCGGCTGATGTCTCCTTATCACCCTCACAAGAGGGAAAAAGGGCTGTTTCCCCAGAGCACGCGATCACAGGAACCGGCCGGCTGCCGTTTACTTGTGCGATCTTGAACCAAACCACCCAGCCTGCCTCTGTGCCGACATCGTGGCCACACGGCAGACAGGCACTTTCTGCATCTTCCACAAAGATGGAAGTTTCCTGTTTGGCTGCAAAAAAAAATGTTTATAAATTCGGGAGGATTATTTTTCATTGCGCAACAATAACATAAAAAAGTGGTGAGCTTTAGCGAGATAGCTAAAAGGGATAGATTAACAGAACTGCAGGGAGACAAATGGAGATAAGAGACAAACTGAGCTGTGGAGACAAACTGGAGTGCAATAGACATTGATATATATTCTTTGGTTCTTTTGGTAAAGTCATGTAGGTCTAAAATAAAATAAATAGATCACGACGTTTCAGGCGCAACACAAGCGTCCGTCGTCAGGTGAGAAAGCATGGTCTGCTGCTGAGGCAGACTGTTTTAAAAGGTTTGAAATGGGTGTAGCCTAAGGGTAATAAAGAAGTGGCCGGGGCTAGTGATGTTAATATGAGAAATTAGAATGTAACTGTAGAAAATAAGGAAAGCGGCCTCCTAGATGAGGACACGGAAGTGGCTATGTTAATGTGAGAGATTAGCATGATGTTAATGTGAGAAATAAGAGGGCACGGAAGTGGCTATGTTAATGTGAGAGATTAGCATGTCGTTAATGTGAGAAATTAGAGGGCACGGAAGTGTCTAAGTTAATGTGAGAGATTAGCATGATATTAATGTGAGAAATTAGCATGTAACTAGAAAAGAAGGAGAGCGACCTCCTCGACGAGGGAGTGCAACCCAACGGGTGTAATCCAAAGGGCCTATGAGTATGAGAGAGCAATCCAAAAGACATGTGAGCATGAGAGTGCAATCCAAAGGCAAGATAGTGCAATGCAATGGACATGTGAGCAAGAGAGGCATAGAGAGAGAGAGAGAGACACAGAGAATTGAAATAACAGCTGACATAGGCAGGTAGGATGGAGACTTCACAGTCAGTTAAGACTTACCTGAGGGCGGACGCTTGTGTTGCGCCCGAAAGGTCGTGATTTATTTATATTTTAGACCGACGTGACTTTACTGAAAGAACCAAAGAATATGGATTCCTACAGTCACGAAAGCTTCAAATCAAGACGTTAATAAATATTTAATATTGCCCAAGCTAATTACTTAATTCACCTGTTAAGCAGTTAAGGGTTTTTATATAAAAAAAAAACTTGGAAACTAAGTCTGAAAGACAAGCCTCGTTTAACACAGACCCATATGTTCGATATATTCCTTTCTTGGTTGCAGGACATGTTCAGGCTCATAATCCACTTTTTTTTATGTAAGCTCGTGCAATGCTTCCATAACCCATGTTTGTTCCATGGAATAATATAGTCGCTTAGCAAAACAAACACAGAAAAAATCCGCGATTAACCACGATGGCTCATATAGTATTTGTTTCAGATTGTAAGATTATCCTGCATGGTGCACGGCAGATCCCAGGCTCCAAGTAGGTCCCCCCATAACACCGTTATTGACTGTCAATTCACTATTTTATTAACATATTTTAGCTTTAGTTGTCTTTACATTTTACAAAAATGTTCACTGCCATTTATAGTGTAGAATATCATACAATATTTAACATTGCAAAACAATAACCCAAAACATTTTATCATGAAGGTACTTTTAGTACTTACTGTACCTGCTTGAAATCCTTTAATAAAGAGCAAACAAAATAAATGTATACAGAAATGAAAACACATTTTAAGTTATTTTTTTGGTGTTGTATTAAGAGGTGATACACTCAGTAGGTTCTCTTTTTTTCTAAATGGAAAATCAGTTGGGTCGTCGGCACTTTGAGGGTTTATCGAAACTTCCTTTTAATGTGCCTTATTTTTTTTTACCAAACTGCGGTTTTGCCTGTTTACATCCGATAGGAAAGTCACGAATGTAATAAAATGTTTTCTTTTATATATCAAATTAATCAAAAACCTAAACTTTGGAAGTTATTGCCTAACATCAATTATATGGGCAGTCCTCGGGTTACTGAATCTAATTTGTCCCTGAGATGCGTTTGTAAGTCGAACGGTTCGTAAGTCGGAACACAATGATGCACTGTATATAAATGCGCATACGGTCAGTGTAACTAAATATGTAATGGTTCAAGATAAAGGAAGCATTGTTAAACTCATTAAGAATAAATATTGTACAATTGCACGTCACATTGTAAAAAACAGTATAGTAAATAAAATATTTTTTAAAAAATGAGGCAAACAACTAGTTTTTTAATGCACACACTTTTATTTGCACTCAAAAGTAAAAAATACATTATTTTTTATCCCAGAATTAATTATATTTGATATACTGAAAAAAAGTGAGTGGCTTGAAATAAAGACAATGAAACATCAAAAGCAAGCCACCCACTTTTATTCAACACATCAAATGTAATTAATTCTGTGGTTAAAATTACATATTTTCTTCTTTTGATTGCAAATAAAAAGTGTGTGCATTGAAAAACGAGTTTTTTTGCTTTATTATGGTGAAAGTTTTGTAATTATTTAACTATTTCATTTTACCAGGTAAAGCCTACTAGAGCTATCTATCTCTTTTTCAGAAGCGACCTTGCCACAAATGGTGGCCCAATGAAATAGCTTATCATGTGGCAATCTATAGCAGACAAATACTCGAAGCAAATGTTTCTAAATGGAGGGAAAACCCGTAGGACCCGGAGAAAAATCCACGCAACCATGGGGAGAACATGCAAACTGCAAATATACAGGCGTGATGTTTAGGGCAATGGCCATTCATAGCAAATATAGACAAGAGAGATGGAGTTAATGATTAGAGAGACAGCTGAAAAAAGATAGAGACTAACAGAACTGCAGAGAGACAAATGGAGATAAGATACAAACTGAGCTGCAGAGACAAACTGGAGTGCGATACAAACGTTCATATATATTTTATATTGCCCAAACTGCTAACATGATGCGTTGAGCAGTTAAGGGTGTTTACATTGAAACAAAACTTGGACACCAAGTCTGAGAGACAAACCTCGTTTAACAAAGACCCATATGTTAGATGGGTTCCTTTTTTATTGTTGCAGGACATGTTCAAACTCATAAACCACATTGTTTTCTGCAAGCACGTGCAATGCTGCCATAACCCACGCTTATCCCATAAAATCTACAAATCCGCGATAAACCTCAATGGCACAAATTGTATTTGTTGCACGGCGGATCCTAGGCTCCAATTACGTCCCCCATAGCACCGTTATTAACTGTAAGTTAACGTTTATTACAACATATAGTTTAGCTTTAGTTATCTTTGCATTTAGAAAAAAAATCACTGCCATTTATAGCAGATAATATCATACAATATTTAACATAAAAAAGCCCCAAAAATGTTAATCATGAAGGTACCTGCTTGAAGTCCTTGAATAAAGAGCAAACAAAATAAATGTGTACAGAAATAAAAAAACATTTTAAGTGATATTGTGGTGTTTTATTAAGAGGTGATACACTCAGTAGGTTCTCTTTTTGCTAAATGGAAACTGAGTTGGGTCGGCACGTTGAGGGTTTATCGAAACTTCCTTTAAATGTACCGTACTTTTTTTTTTTACCAAACTGTGATTTAGCATTTTTACATCCTACAGGAAGGTCATGAATGCTCGTTAGTTTCTCAATTCTCTGGTGTCAGTGAGGGTCGCGGCCGCAGCATGTTGAGTAGGGTGTTCCAGACCTCCCTTTCCCTGGCGACAGACTCTCGCTCTTCCTGGAGAATTCCCAGGTGTTCCCAGGCCAACTAAGCGACATAGTCGCGCCAGCGTGTCCTGGGCCAGCTTCGGGTTCTTTGCCCAGTGGGACGTGCCCGGTAGAGTTCTAGGGGGGAATCCTTACCAGCTGCCCGAACCACCTCAACTGGCTCCTCTCGATCCGGAGGAGCAGCGGCTCGACTATGATGCTCTCCCAGATTACCAAGCCCCTCACCCGATCACGGAGAGTGAGCCCGAGAAAACCCTGCGGAGAAACTTCATTTTGGCCAATTGTACCCACGATCTATCCTTTCGGTTATTAACCAAAGCTCACGACCATATGTGAGGTGTGGGAACGTAGATCGACCTGTAAACCGAGAGCTTTGTTCACGAACTTGGCTCCTGCTTCATTATCACGGAACGGTACAGCGCCCACAACACTGCGGACGTGGCACCGATCTACCGGCCGATCTCCCACTCCCACTTACCATCGTTCACGGAAGAGATGCCGAGGTATTTCAACTCTTCGACTAAGGGCAGCTTTTTCTCCCTCACCTGGACAGCACAATCCACCATCTTCTGGGAGTTAATTATGACCTCATATTTGGCAGTGCTGATCATCCCAGCACTTTACCGAAAAAACCTAAGAATATGAATCCTTGCAGTCACGAAAGCTTCAAATCTAGAATCATCCCAGCAGCTTCACACTTGGCAGCAAACTGTTCAACTACACTCCCATAGTACCACCCACATGACATTGCGGGAACATGGTCATATGCTTTCTCCAAGTCTACAAAGCAGAGGTAGACTGGATAAGCATACTCCCATAACCCCTCATATCTGTGAGAGGGAAAGGAGCTGGTCCATTGTTCCATGACGCTGATGGAATCTGCATTGTTCCTCCTGAATCTGAGGCTCAACCACTGGGCGGAGCCACCTCTACAGCACTTTGGCATAGGCTTTACCTGGGACATTGAGGAGTGTGATCCCTCTGTAGTTGGAGCACACCGTCCGGTCCCCTTTCTTAAAAATGGTAACCATGACCCCAGTTTTCCAATCCGCCTTCTATGCAACATTGAATAGGAGTGTTAACCATGACACTGCTATATCGTCCAGCGCCTTCAACATTTCTGGGCAAATCTTATCCACGCCAGCAGCTTTGCCTCTACAAAGGCCCTCGACTGCCGCAGCGACTTCAGCAGCCGTGATGAACCCCCCCCCCCCCCTCGACTATCTTCTTAGTTGAGTTCAATGTTACGCCACCCTTACTGAAAACAGCATGGGCCACGTCCCGTCGATTCCTCCTAAGGCGTCAGATGGTTTGCCAGAACATAATTAAGGCTGCCGTGTAATCCCTCTCCGTGGCCTCTCCAAACTCCTCCTACGCTCGGGCTTTGGCTTCAGCGACTGCTGCAGCTGCTGCCCTCTTAGCAAACTGGTACCTCTCAAACGAGTCGGGAGACCTTTTTCCAAGCATAGCTCGGAGAGCCTCCTTCAACTTGACAGCTTCCCTCACCACCAGCGGGTCCTAGGGTTGCTGCCATGACAGGCACCAACTGCCTTCAGGCCACAGCTTTTCGCAGCTACATCGACATTAAGAGGTCCTGAACATCGTCCACTCGGACTCAATGTCCATTACCTGCCCTGGAGGGTAGCAGTTTTCCCGGCGGTGGAATTGGAAATCTTTCTGCACTGGGCCTTCCGCCAGACATTCCCAGAAAACAAGCACTATTCGTTTGGGCCTTCCAGGTCTATCTGGTCGGTGCCCCAAGTGTTGGATCTAATTTACCACCAGGTGGTGATCAGTTGACAGCTCTGCCCCTCTCTTCACTCGGGTGTCCAGAGCACTATGGCCTTAGCTCTGATGATACAACTATAAAGTCAATCATTGACCTTCGGCTGAAGGTGCTCTGGTACCAAGTACACTTATGAGCATCCTTGTGTTCGAACATGGTATTTGTTATTGACATTCCGTCACGAGGGTAGAATTACAATACCACCTGACCGTTCTGGTTCAGATCAGGGGGGCCATTCTTTCCAATCACGCCTCTCTAGGTATCTCCACCGTTTCCCACGTGAGCATTGAAGTCGCCCAGTAAGACTATGGAGTCAGTAGGTGGCACTCTATCGAGCACTGCACTCAACGTCTCCAAGAAGGCCGAATACTCTGAACTGTTGTTTGGTGCATAAGCACAGACAACTACACTATGGGGACCTCATTTGCCAGTAAAAATATGATAATTGGTTCTTTACCCTTCTATCTGGCAACAAAACTGACACCTTTTTGCAAGGAGTCATGTTTGCATAGACCGCAATACCTGCAGTCATAAATACAAACAAAAGACATAACTCTGATAATGTGCACTGTCCTTGAAGTTGATTGGTCCACACCCGAGACAGCTTTCCTTCGAGCCTAGTCTCATATGGGTTGGACCAGATGACGCCAAAAGGCGCACAACTCAAGGACAATGCACCATCAGAGTATGAGAGCTCGGGGCAATCATCTACACTATGGGGACCTCATTTGC